TGGCGTACGACAACCAGACTTTAACATGCGACGTTCTTTCCAGCAGTCTCTCATACAACTGTCGAGCATTGTCAGGTTCTTCTTGAGAAATCTCAAAGTCAATGTACGCTTTCCAGAGTAAGTCGGGCATGTCGAGTCTCGCTTGACCTATGGCGAGCTCATAAATGGCTCGTGCTCTATCCACATCCCCCAACAGAGTTTCAAGTTCGGCGAATTTCATCCAAGTGACGCAGTTTTCAGCCCCAAACTCCAGAAACTTCCCGTATAAAATGCGGCAGCGATCGAACTCGCGCAGTTGGATTTCTATGTCAATGTAACCCCGGAATAATTTGTCCCTGGGGCATTTTCCAATCGCCGTCCCTAGGATTTTTCGGACGGCTTTTATGTCCTTTTGGCGGATTTCGAACTGGGCAAACAGCAGCCAAATTTTCGAAAAAGTGAAAACTTTATGTGGCAACAAATCTAGACAAGCTTTATAGACTTGACGCGTTCTTTCATAGTCTATGGCGTCTAGTTCCTCAAAAAGGGCGTAGTTTATTCACAGATAAATGTATCTTCTTCAGTACTGTTTATTTTTGGTGGGGGGTACGTTCGCAATCGCTCTTTCATAAGTCTCGCGGGTTATTTCAACGTCACCTTCCCCCTCCACGAGTCTCAAATAGTCGAACCAAGCGTCGTAATTGGTCGGATTTTCAAGGATTTCTTGCTGGTACTGGAACTTACGTTTCGACACAATAACATCTTCAATCCCGACCTATCGCCATATTTTTTCTCATGAATGGTGTAAGCTTTGTAAAGCTCCTTCGCCTGTTCCTTCGGCATATGGTCCAAAGCATACTTATAAATTTTTAAATATCCAGATGTTTCATTTTCTCGATTTTTAATTGTTCAATTTTGCGATATTTCAGTATTACAGTTTTTCGATTTTAGGATTTTTCGATTTTCGTTTTAAAATTTTTCGATTTTTCATTTGTTAGATTTTCTACTGTTACTATCACAATTTTTTGTTTGTTCAATTTCTGATTTTTCATTTCTTTCTATTTTTCATCCATTCGATTTTTAATTATATCTAAAAGTTAAAAAATTGTAAAATAGAAAAACTAAAGAAGAAAAAAACTGAAAACTCGAAAAACTAAACTGAAAAATTGAAAAATTCAGAATTTAAAAAATCGAAACATTTAAAAAATTAAAAGTTGAAAAATTGGGAAACTAAAAAACCGAGTTCCTGAAAAATTAAAAATCGAGAAATTGAAAAATCGAGAAGCTGCAAAATTATGAAAATGAATAATTAAAAAATCGATTTATTGAAAAAATTGAAAAATCGTAAAACTGAAGAAAGGAAAAATTAAACAAACGAAAAATTCAAAATTTGAAAAATCGAAAGACTGAAAAATTAAAACATCGAAAAATTGAAAAATTAAAAAACGGAAATTTGAAAATTTAAAGTTCTAAAAATTGTAAATTGAAAATTGGAAGCATTTAAAAATTGAAAGATTAACAATCGAGAAATTGAAACATCAAAAAACTGCAAAATTGTGAAATTGGAAAATTATAAAACCTATTTATCGAAAAATTGGAAAAACTACAAAAACGTAATATCGAGTACACGAAAAATGCAAAAGTTTAAAAAGCAAAAATCGAGAAACTGAAAAATCACAAAATATCTAAAAGTTATAAAATCGAAAAATTGCGCATCGAAAAACTAAGGAAATGAAAAATTTAAATCTCGATAAGTTCTAACTCAAAAAATTAAAAAAGTTGAAAAACCGAACAACAGGATAAATCAAAACATGAAAAATTATACAAGCGGTATTAAAAGATCGAAAAAATTGTAAAGTCCTAAACTTGGGGAAACGGAAAATTAAAAAACCCAAAAATTCAAAATTTAAAAAATTGAAATGTTAAAATAACTAAAAATTGAAAAATCAAAAATTACAAAAAGAAAAACTGAAGAAATGAAATTTAAAAAAATTACAATTGAAAAAAAGAAAAAATTGCAAAATCATGTTGAAGAAACGAATAACTGATAAACTCAAAAACTGAAACGTCAAAAAGTAGAGAAAACGAAAAACTGAAAAATTGAAAAATTGAAAAATCAAAAAATTATAAATCGAAAAATGTTATTAATATTCTTTTAATTCGAAAATTTTGCAGGATAAAAATCGAAAAACTAATCAATCAAAAAATGGAATAATTGAAAAATCAAAAAAATTATAAAAATTTGGATATTGAAAAATTTGTGAAATGAAAAATTGAAAACTGGAAAAAATAAAAAAATCAAATGATTGAAAAACGAAAAAATTTGATTTTTTTTTTTCAATTTTTTGTCTATTCGATTTTTTAACTATATCTGAAAGTTGAAAAATTGCAAAATAGAAAATCTGAAGAAGAAAAAACTCGAAAAACTAAAACCGAAAAATTGAAAAATTCAAAATTTAAAAAATCTAAAAATTAAACAGGTTGAAAAACTGAAAAACTGATATTAAAGAATCAAAAAAAGTGTAAAATCGTAAATTTGAAGAAACGGAAAATTCAAAATTTGAAAAATCGAAAAATCAAAAATTGCGGATCGAAAAACTGAAGAAATGAAAATTAAAAAATTCAGAATTTAAGAAAATTAATCAATAAAAAAATGGAATAATTGATAAATCAAAAATTAAAAATTGAGAAATTGAAATATTTGTGAAATGAAAAATCGAAAAAATGAAAAAATCAAATGATAGAAAAACGAAAAAATTTCAAAGTCGTAAAACTCAAGAGACGAAAATATAAGTTTTAATCGAAAGTTAAAAAGTTGAAAAATCGATAAATTGTAAAATTCAAAAAACTACTTACTGAAAAAAACTACAAAATCGTGAAGAAAGAAAAATTCTAAAGTTGAAAATTCTAAAAATTAACAATCTAAACTTTGAAAAATAGAAAAATTACACAGTGAAACAGTAAAGAAACGAAAAATTAAAAAATCTAAACTTTGAAAAATAGAAAAATTACACAGTGAAACAGTGAAGAAACGAAAAATTAAAAAAATTTAAGCTGAAAACTCTAAAAATTGAAAAAGCAAAAGATCTACTCATTGAAAAATCGAAACTGAAGAAACGCAAATTTAAGTACATAATCGAAAATTAAAAAGCTGAAAAACCGAAACAATAAAAAATCGAAAACTGCGCTATTGAAAAATTTATAAATTGAAAAATAAAAAAATCTACTCATTGAAAAATAAAAAAAAAATTGCAAAATTGTAATACTAAAGAAAGGACGATTTAAAAAAAATGAAAAATACAAAAGTTAAAAAATCAAAAAATCAAAAATCGGGAAACCGAAAAATCGCAAAATGAAAAGAGAAACGAAAAATTGAAAGTTGGGAACTCAAGAAACTTGCAAAATCGTAAAATTGAAGAAACGAAAAATAAAACAAACGAAAAATTCAAAATTAGAAAAAGCGAAAGACTGAAAAATTAAAATATCGAAAAATTGACAAATCAAAAACGAAAAATTGGAAACATTTATTAAAAATCGAAAGATTGAAATATCGAATCGAGAAATGGAAATATCGAAAAACTGCAAAATTGTGAAATTAAGATTATAAAACTGATCTATTGAAAAATCGAAGAAATTGCAAAATCGTAGTATCGAGTATACAAAAAATGAAAAAATGGAAAAATGCAAAAGTTGAAAAAGCAAAAATCGAGAAACTGAAAAATCGCAAAATATCTAAAATATACAAAATCGAAAAACTGAGGAAATAAAAAAATTAAAACATGAGAACTTCTAACTCAAAAAATTAAACAAGCGGTTTAGTAACGAATCTAAAAAATTGTAAAATCGTAAAATTGAAGAATCGAAAAATTAAAATATCTAAAAATTAAAAAATCAAAGATTACAAATTGAAAAATTGAAGAAATGAAAATTAAAAAATTCACAATTTAAATATAGAAAAATTTTGAATTGTAGACAAGAAAAATTACAAATCGAACAATTCAAGAAACGAAAAATTGAAAAATCAAAAATGGAAACAAACGTTTAAAACATCTACTAATTTTCAGTTATTTTATTTATTTGTTTGAAAATCGAAAAAATTAATAAATCAAAAACTGAAACAACTGAAAAATCAAAAAATTAATAATTGGGCAATTGAAAAATTTGTGAAATGAAAAATCGAAAACTGAAAAAAAATACAATGATTGAAAAACGAAAAAATTTCAAGTCGTAAAACTTACGAAACGAAAATCTAAATAATCAAAAATTAAAAAGTTGAAAAATGGAACAATCAAAAATCGAAAAACTGCGAGACTGAAAAATAGATAAACTGAAAAATTCAAAAAACCACTTACTGAAAAAAAATGCAAAATTGTGATACTGAAGAAAGAAAAATTCCAAAGTTGAAAATGCGGAACATTAAAAAATCAGAAATCGAAAAACTGAAATATAATAAAAAATTGAAAAATGTTGACTCAAAAGTACAAGAAATTGTAAATCGAAAAATTCAAAACTCCAAACATCGAAAAAATTGCAAAAGTTGAAAATCCGAAAAATTAAAATATCTAAACTTTGAAAAATAAAAAAATTACAGAGTGAATTAGTGAAGAAACGAAAAATTGAAAAATCAAAAGATCTACTCATTGAAAAATCGAAAAAATCCAAAATTGTGGTACTGAAGAAACGACGAATTAAAAAAAAAAGAAAAATAAAAAAGTTAAAAAATCGGGAAACCGAAAAATCGCAAAATGAAAATCGAAACGAAAAATTTAAAGTTGAGAACTTTTATATTATCTTACAGTATGTATGCACTACTGACTTTATGGTCTGTAATTAAAAAATAAATATTCGAAAAATGCTCAGACCACAATATAAATAAACACGATGTATAGTGTTCGAATTTGCGTCAGTTTGAACTTGGCGCCGATATGCTTTTTTGCGATTGGTCGATTCATTCCGGAGCTTAAATTACTAACCAAACCGGACTTAAACTAGATATTTGACACCCCCAAATTTAATACACATTAAGAAAAAATATTTAATTTAACCAAACATACAAAACTCCTTGACAAACACAACACTTTATTCATCAGCTTCTGTTTCTTTCTGCTTCTTCCAATTTTTGGCGGCCGCCAGGAACTTAAGATTGGGTTTCCCAGCCTCATCCTCCGGAAATATATAATCGAAAATTTCTTCCCACCCTTGCTCAGCCCCCTCCTCATCCACAACCTTCTGTCTCTTCTTGATCCTTTTCGGCATTTTACTCTCGACTTTTTCTTTCGTGCTATCCGTCCCGTGCGAATTCTCAAAGTCCCGCCAATTTTCCAAAAGCAAAACCCTCGACTCCTTCTCCCCGTAATTCTTCAAACTGTCATTAGCGCGCTCGTACACCCGTCTCGCCAACGCAATATTTAAATTATCTTCAATCTGATTGTTCAATTCGAACTTGGCGTACGACAACCAGACTTTAACATGCGACGTTCTTTCCAGCAGTCTCTCATACAACTGTCGAGCATTGTCAGGTTCTTCTTGAGAAATCTCAAAATCTATGTACGCTTTCCAGAGCAACTCGGGCATGTCGAGTCTCGCTTGACCTATGGCGAGCTCATAAATGGCTCGTGCTCTATCCACATCCCCCAACAGAGTTTCAAGTTCGGCGAATTTCATCCAAGTGACGCAGTTTTCAGCCCCAAACTCCAGAAACTTCCCGTATAAAATGCGGCAGCGATCGAACTCGCGCAGTTGGATTTCTATGTCAATGTAACCCCTGAATAATTTGTCCCTCGGGCATTTTCCAATCGCCGTCCCTAGGATTTTTCGAGCGGCTTTTATGTCCTTTTGGCGGATTTCGAACTGGGCAAACAGCAGCCAAATTTTCGAAAAAGTGAAAACTTTATGTGGCAACAAATCTAGACAGGCTTTATAGACTTGACGCGTTCTTTCATAGTCTATGGCGTCTAGTTCCTCAAAAAGGGCGTAGTTTATCCACAGATAAATGTATCTTCTCCAGTACTGTTTATTTTTGGTGGGGGGTACGTTCGCAATCGCTCTTTCATAAGTCTCGCGGGTTATTTCAACGTCACCTTCCCCCTCCACGAGTCTCAAATAGTCGAACCAAGCGTCGTAATTGGTCGGATTCTCAAGGATTTCTTGCTCGTACTGGAACTTACGTTTCGACACAATAACATCCTCAATCCCCGACCGATCGCCATACTTTTTCTCATGAATGGTGTAAGCTTTGTAAAGCTCCTTAGCCTGTTCCTTCGGCATATGGTCCAAAGCATACTTATAAATAATCCTCGCTCTATCATGCTCCTTCTGATTCTCCTCAAACCTCGCAAACGCTATATACAACTTCTCATCCAAGTGATCGTCTCCGTAAAAATGCACAGCTCTTTCAAAAATCTGTCTCGCTGAATTAATAAACCCGTGATTCTCCTCAAACCTCGCGTACTTAATCCAGTGCTTAACCTCTGGGTGCGTAATCACGAACCTCTCATAAATCTCCCTGGCTCTATCAATCTCTTTATACCGCAGCTCGAAATTAATATAAGTTTGCCAGGCTTGCTCATCCGGCTGCCACTCCATCCAGCGCTCGAACACCGCTCTGGCCCCAGCCACATTCTCCAACATCTCTTCCATGTAGGTGTATTTGTACCAGAACTGGTTTATTCTCGGAAGAATCGTGACCGCTCTGTCCCACAAATTCCGGGCATGGTTCACCTGCCGGTTCCGCATTTCCATTTCCGTGTATTTCAGCCATATTGTCACGTTTCTGTGGTCTATGTCCAAGGCGCGTTCGTAGATGGAGCGCGCTCTTTGAATTTCCTTCTGGGATTCCTCCCAGTGGGCGTATTTGATCCAGTTGGAGATGACCGTGCGGTTTTTGCGGATGTTGTCTTCGAATTGTTTGCGTCTGCGGAGTTGGTAGTCTGCGAGTTCGGCCGGGTCGGAGATTTTTTGTTTCGGGGGCGGCGGGAGGATTTCCAAGTCACGTTCTTTCGCCTCGCGGAGGAGCTGCTCGGCGGTGATTTGGATTTCCGCGGGGGCTTTGTTTTTAACCTATGATATAAAATGATTTAGTGACGTTGTAGAAGGATACTTTTGTTCTTACTTACCTTTGCCACTTTGGGCATTTTTTGAGGCTTCGTTTCCATTCTGATATTCAAGTTTAACGATAATTAGAACAGCAGAAACAACAAAATGTTCATGTAAACATCATTTGTTCGTTTAATTTGAGGTTAGTTTTAGATTATGGAAAAGTGAGGTTAGGTTTGATTACGTATTGAATTGATTCAGGGAAGGGGCCATACGCCGAATATCGATAGTTCATCGAATTTCGAAAGAAAATAATCCTAAAAACTAACATCAGAGAAAAAAAATTAAAAATTGAAAACCACGAAAATGAAAAATTTAAAATTTAAAATGGGAAAATTTATGAGAAATTGCAAAGGTGAGAGAAAACTGATAAATCGAAAAACGAAAAATCCTAAAATCGAAAAACTGTAACACCGAAATATCAAAATATTGATGAATTAAAAATGTAACATCAGATAACTAAGAATGAAAATATCTAGAGGCTGAAAATATGAAAAACTGAATTAAATGAAAACTTAAAGTATCTATAAACTAAAAAATCGACAAATAAAATGCATAATTGAAAATTCGAAATATCGAGAAATTAAAAACCGGAAAAAACAGAAAAATCGCAAAATTATATAGCTGAAGAAACGAAAAATTGAAAATCTTCAAAATTGAGAAGTTGAAAATCTGAAAAAGCGAAAAATTAAAGACCGACAAACTGAAAAATCAATATCTGAAAAAAATGAAAACTGTAAAACCAACATTGAAAAAACGAAAAATCGTAAAATTGCAAAACTGTAATAAACGAAAACTTAAAATATTTAAAAATTTTTAAATCTGAAATTTGTAAAATAAAAATCCAAAAACGAAAAAACCGAAAAATGAAATCCATAATACATAATTGAAAAATGAAACAGTTGCAAAAATTAAAAATCGAGAAACTGAAAAATCTCAAAATCCTATAACTGGAGAAACGAAAAATCGAATTTAACAAGTGAAAAATTAAAAATCGGTAAACTGAAAAACCAACGATTGAAAAATCAAAAACTGAAGAAACGAAAAATTGTAAAACTGAAACCGTGAAAAATATCAATAAAGAAACATCCAAAAACTGAAAAATAAAAAATCTATATATATAATAGAAAAATCGAAAACTTGAAAAATCGCAGAGTCAAAGAAACGTTAAAAAATTGAAAAATTCATGAATTCAAAAATTGCAAAATCGGAAATTGAAATATCGAACGAAAAAAATTGTAAAATCGAAAAATTGCACAATTAAAATCGAAAAACCAAAAAACCGAAAAACTGAATATCGAGAAATTGAAACATCAAAAAACGCAATATTATATAATTGAAGGAACGGAAAATTGAAAAATTTCAAAATCGAGAAGTTAAAAAATTAAAAATCGAGAAACTGAAAATTTTTAAAACTGAAAAACTGTAACATTGAAATATCGAAAATGTGAAAAATTAAAAATGAAACATTTAAAAATTGAAAACTAAAAACTAATAGAAAAATTGAAGACTTGAAAAATCGTAAAATCAAAAAAACGAAAAATTAAAAAATCCAATAATTGATATGGGTATTCAAGTTGAAAAATCTGAAACAAAAAACTGAACAACCAAAAAACAAGAAACTGAAAAAACGAAAAACTGAAATAAATGAAAACTTAAAATATTTAAAAATTGTTAAATCTAAAAATTGCACAATAAAAATCGAAAAACGAATAAACCAAAAAATGAAATCCATAATAATTGAAAAATGAAAAAATGGAAAAATCAAAATCAAAAACCGCAAAATCACTGAAGAAACGAAAAATTGAATTTAAAAAGTGAAAAATCAAAAACTGAAGAAACGAAAAATTGTAAAAACTGAAACAGTGAAAAATATCTTTTCAAAAATCGAAAAATTTTACAATTAAGAAGTCGAATAAACGAAAAATCCTAAAACTGTAAAACTGTAACACTGAAATATCGAAAAGTTGAAAAATTAAAAATGTAAAATCGAAAAAAAACAACAATTAAAAAATTCAAAAATTGAAAGACTGACAAAACGAAAAACGGAAATAAACGAAAACTTAAAATTAACACTGAAATATCAAAAATTTGAAAAATTAAAAAATCGACATCTTGAAAAACTAACGATTGAAAATTAGAAACGGAAGGAACGAAAAATTTTAAAAACTAATACAATCAAAAACCGAAAAATTTTAAAATTAAGAAATCGAATAAACCAAAAAAACGTAAAACTGATAAACTGTAACACTGAAATACCGAAAAATTGAAAAATTAAAAATAAAACGTCTAAAAATTGAAAAATAAAAAAATCTGATAAAAAAATGGAAAACTTGAAAAATCATAAAATCAAAGAAACGTTAAAAAATTGAAAAATTGAGGAATTCAAAAATTGCAAAATCGGAAATTGAAATATCGAACAACCAAAAACCGAGAAATTGTAAAAGAAAACAAAAACTTAAAATATCTAAAATTTGCAAAATATAAATCGAAAAATCAAAAAACCGAAAAACGGAATAATCGAAAACAACGAAACAATTGAAAAATCAAAAATAGCAAAATCATGTAATTGAAAGAAGGGACAATTGAGAAATTTCAAAATGTAGTTGAAAAATTGAAAAATTAAAAATCTGCAAACTGAAATATAAAAATTAAAGAAACGGAAGATCGTAAACCTGAAGCACTAAAAAATCTCATCTGAAAAATATAAAAATTTAAAAAATGAGAAATCGAAAAAAGAAAAATCCTAAAACTGAAAAACTGTAACACTGAAATATCGAAAATTTGAAAAATTAAAAAATTGAAAAATAAAACACTGTAATAGAAAAATGGAAAACTTGAATAATCGTGAAACCAAAGAAACGAAAAATTAAAAAATCGAAAAAATGATAAATTCAAATGTTGAAAATTCGGAAACTGAAAAATCGAACAATCAAAATCGAGAACTTGAAAAAACGAAAACTTCAAATATCTAAAAATTGTAAAATCGAGAAATTGCAAAATAAAAATCGAAAAATGAAATGCATACTTGAAAAATCGAAATATCGAGAAATTGAAAAATAGAAAAATCGCAAAATCGTAAGAAGCGAAAAATTGAAAAATTTTAAATTCAAAAAGTTGAAAAATTGAAAAAGAGAGAAATTAAAAAATAAAGAACTCTAACATAAAAAACGGATATTGAAATCGTAAAATCAAAAAAACCAAAAATTAAAAAATCTAATAAAAATTGATATATATGTATTTGAAAGTTGAAAAATCAGAAATAAAAGGTAAATAGTCAAAAATGGACAAACTGAAAAAACGAAAAACTGAAATAAATGAAAACTTAAAATTTTTAAAATTTGAAAAATCTAAAAACTAAAAAGCCATAATTGAAAATTCAAATATGCATTTAAAAACTGTTAAATCTAAAAATTGCAAAATAAAAGTTGAAAAACGAAAAAACCGAAAAATGAAATCCATAATAACTGAAAAATCAAAAAATTGAAAAATCCAAAAATTAAGAAATTAAAATGGAGAAACTGAAAAATCAAAATTGCAAAATCCTGTAACTGGAGAAACGAAAAATTGAATTTAAAAACTGAAAAACTAACGATTGAAAAATCGAAAAACTGAAGAAACGAAAAATTTTAAAAACTGAAAACTGTAACACTGAAATCCCGAAAAGTTGAAAAATTAAAAATGAAACATCTAAAAATTAAAAAAATTAAAAATCTGATAGAAAAATCGAAAACTTGAAACCAAAGAAACGAAAAATTAAAAAATCGAGAAGCTGAAAAACGAAAAACTGAAATAAACGAAAATTTATGATATCTAAAAATTGTAAAATAGGAAAATTCCAAAATAAAAATCGAATAACTAAAAACCGAAAAAAGAAAAGCATAGCTAAAAAAGCGGAATAATCTAAAATCAGGAAATTAATAATCTAATTAATGAAAATTAAAAAAAAAAACAAAATCTTAAAACGGAAGAAACCATTGCCTTTTTCAATTTTTCGATTTCTCAGTTTTAAAATTTTTCAATTTTTTAGTTGTCAGATTTTTCGTTATTTCAGTTTTACAATTTTTCAGTTTTCAAAATCTTCAACTTCTATAAAGGTCGAAAAACTGCATCTAAAAATTAAAAAAATTGAAATAGAAAACTCGAAAAATTGTACAATCGAAAAACTGAAGAACCTTTAAACATTCAAAAATCACATAAAATATACATAAACATGATGAAATCAATAAAATTCGAATTTATGCAGGTTTGAATTTGAGGTTAATATGCTTTGTTGTGATTAGTCGACCCGGCTGCGGAGATTAATGTATGTTGGGTTGCAAACTTTTGGGAAAGTTAGGCGATGTGTCCACCTGTCAAATTAAAATGACATTCACACAGATCCTACAGTAACCTGTAATATCATCTTGCGGAATATTTTTAATTTAAGGTAGAGATAGAGGTATTTTTCTCTTTAATGATAATTTTCCACAATAATATCCTTACAGACGGCCTGATTCAATAAAACTTCCTCAAACAACGTGAAATAACAGAAAATCGTTCAATCTCCACGCGTCGCGCCATCTACCGGCCGCAACCCTCCCTCCGGAATGATTAATTTACTTAATTTTTGAGCTAAATGGATATTTTGTAAATGTGTATAATTTTAGCCGAAATAAATATTTACACAGTCCATAAATATTTAAGTCAATTATCCTGTGTGTGGCAAACACTGTTAAAAAAATAAATAACCCGACTAAAAAATCCGTCTTCCTTTCATAGCTCCACATCAGTTATGCAAATTTGACGAAATGGTCGTCGCTCCGACACATTTTTCACGTTAACTTTGCCGAAAAACCATCCACCTGAAGCCAAATCCTCCCCGAAATATGCATTTAGTGAATTTCGTGCACCAAAGTTGTGGAAATTGTGCAGTGAAGTGAACCATCCGCCGTCATCTTGTTTGTTTACTCTGCGAAGAGTGAAAATCGGAAAATATGGATAGATAATACACAATCCGGTATTTCAAAAGCACGGAATGAAGATGGGATGAAGAAATTCTAAATTTAACACCATGAAAATTGCCTTATTAACGAAATTTCTTGTTGTGTTGCTGTTGTGAGTCCATAACCAAAAACCTCAATAATGAGTAAAAGCATTTTTGGATATAGTAACATATTGAAGTGTTTTGTTTTAATTATAACGTTAATTCCATTTAGTGTTGTTACGAATACATTGAACGATGTATGGATTAGAAGTATTACGAAAGAATTAAGCGACGATTTAGCGGTGATTAAGAACGAAGAGTTGGGGATTGGCTATGTTAAGGTAAGCCAGTTTCGGGATTTATCGACACACACTAACGTTTTTTTGCAGAAATTGTACACAACGTTCAAGTACACGTCCACGGTAATCGATGCTAACAAAACTGTGAACGAAATTGCGCACAAATTGGAAGAGAAAATAGACGACATATTTTCAGCGCTGGTACGCGCTAAAGTGGCTATCGAGAACATGCAAACTTTGGATAATACCACGAAAACGAGCTCCGTCGTCTTGCCTTGTCTACAAAATAGAAATAATGATACAACACAGAAAAATTCTAAAGTTTGTGATAGTTCAGATGAGCATGAGAAAGACCACTTGAAACTGGATTATAGTAAGTAAAAAATGCTTTTTTCTGTGTAAGTTACAGTTGGTGTTTTAGTTTTGCATAAGTTGAAGTCAAAAATGATGGTTATGAAGAGTGGTATCAAGCAACAATATTTTATTTCGTCTTCCGACTTGGACTCAAATTTGTATTCGCCGTTTGTGGACTGTGGAAAAATTGACCACATGCTGTTGTGGAATAATTACATGGCACGGAATAATTATGTTCCTAAAAATGTAGTGCTGCTCCTGGATCACGGAGGGTCTCTCAGTAGGAGACACTTTGCCATTGTTACCACCATTGGTGAGTAAAATATTTGTTAACCCCTTATAATAATAATCACGAAATTTACCCTACTTTCATAACATCTAGGAGGCCATGCTATGCATCTTGTTTTTAAGTTGGCCCTACTGACACTCACGTCCATTTTAAAATTTGACGTTTAAGGTTAAGTAACACCCACTAGATTGCACTTTTGCTTTGTTTTAGCGAAACGAATTATCGAAAGTCTGACTGAACAAGACAAAATTGCCGTTCTTGCCATATCGAACGACTGGATATCTCCTCAATTAAACGAAGAATGTCTAATGCCAAACCAAGTTCCTCCAGTAGTTAGTGATGTTCCGAAGTTTACCTCAGTCGATCCTTCCAAAAAGAAACTCTTGTACAAATTTATCGACGGAATGTACAAAGGACGTGGTGCCACAAACCACTCGTTAGGCCTTCAGAAAGCTTTAAGTGTTATAGAGAAAAGCCAAATACAAAATGAAACTGTGATGATTTTATACGTTAGTCGCGGATTGTTGTCTTCTTTGACCGAAGCTAAAGTCGTGTTGGAGGCGATTCAAGAGGCTTCCGAGAATATCACGTGCCAGTTCGTCATTAACACGTGCGCGGTGATCGATGATAGTAGACCGACGATCTACGAGACGCAATTTTTGGAAGACATAGCGTTGCAAAATTACAACAAATATAATATTTCGTTTTCCGGGAGTGCTGTAAGTGGGGCGATGATCGCTGTTAATTCGTCGGACGCCGTAGAGTTTGCCCTTAACCGATTTTACGCTGTATTTAACGCAAATTTTTCGTTTGATTTAGAAAAGAAAATGTCGCTGCTTTTGTGGGATAAAAATTCTAAAGGTAACTTCACAAACGTCTTCAGACTAGTGTTATTGTTGTTGTTGTTGTTGTAGATTTAACCGTTTCGTTTTCAATTGGTTGCTTAAGTGATAACCAGTTTGGAGTGTTGGGGGTTGACATATACTTTGCCAGTTTAGTCGAAAATCTTATTTATTTTAGTAGTAAACAAAAAAACTACTATGCATTTTTAACAGACATGGAAGGTACGTCAGTTTGCTTTATTATTGTTTCTTCTCTAATATTTTTACTCTAGGACGCGTGATCGTGCACCCAAAATTCGCGTCTCTGAGCACTGTGAAACAGCGGCTTCAGTTCTTAGACATATCATACTTTGAAAAAGTACCTCTTTTTCACATGGTGAAGAACCGGCTTTTGACTGAGCCAGAAGGGGTTCAAATGACGAAACAATTTGGTTTGCCTGTAATAACGAAAAGTATGTTAAAATTCGATCTGTAGTGGTTTTTTTTAGATAAAATGGTCGTGGAAGAGGGTGGGGAAGTGGTACGTGGTTTGTTTAGTAACACGTGATGCTCCGTTAGCCGTGAGACCGTACGCGGTTAAATGGCCCCTTAACTCTTCGGATTCCTACAGTATTAAACTCGTTTACCAAAGCCTGCAGCATTCGGAAAATTCGAAACTGTGCCGGCACTTGAATCAAGTGGCGACTTTAGGTATGTATTCGAACTAGAAGGAATAAGCAGAAATTTGCTTATTTGAAACTAAATTTTACTAATTTCTATTTTAAATATTAAAAATATCAAGTTACCACTTTTACAGTGACAGTTTTCTGAACAAATGTCAAATTCATTGAGTACTTGATTTAAAAAAAAAAACTCGTGTTTTGTCCATTAGGCAACCAATAATACGGGTGTGGTTACATTTAAACAATACAATACATGGTACTTCTTAACCATATGAAAACAGGAAAGTACCATATGGTCGAAAAAATTGGTCTGAAATGCATTTCAACAAATCCCGTTTCTTTAATTATAAAATTTATTATTTTTTTGTGATAATCTCAAAATTAAAATTAGATAAAAAGAGACAGAAACCACTATAATAGGGGTACGTTATTTTATAAAATTTTAATGACGTTTACTAGAAAAAAATCAATCTAAATCTAAAAATGTGTCTAATCCTCTCACCAACGATGCGATGACGTCGGCTCAAAATTAAAAACTGTAGAAATTGTAAATTGAAAAATTCAACAGTTAAAAAATCGGAAAATTTAAAAAGTGAAAAGTTGGAAAAGTCTAAAACCCGCAAAATTGTGAAGTTGAAAAATTAATAAATTGACTGATTGATAAATCGAAAAAATTTCAAAATTGTAAAATTGAGAAAACGAAAAATTCAAAATTTGGAAAAAGAAAAAGACGAAGAATTAAAATATCAAAGCGAATCGTAAAATTGAAGAAACGAAAACTTACAAAATTGTAAAGTTGAAAAATGGAGAAAATTTATTAATCGAGCAATCAAAGTGGAAAAATAAAAATCGAGAAAGTGAAAAATGTTCGATTTGAAGATCAAAAAATTGCAAAATTGAAAAATTTAAAAATCTACTTATAAAATATTGAAAATATTACGAATTATGATTTTGTATCGAAGAAACGGAAAATTATAAATTCCAGAAATTGAAAAACCGAAAAATTAGAATATCTAAATTCGAAAAATGGAAAAATTGAATCGGTAAACTGAAAATTTGACAATTTAAAACTGAAAAATGAAAAATCAAGAAATTGAAAAATTGAAGGACTGCAAAATTGTGTGATTGAAAAATTAAAAAACTGACGTATTGAAAAAGAAAAATCAAAGAATTAAAATATCGAAAAGTTGAAGAACCCCAAAATTGCAAATCAAAAACTGAAAAAATTTAAAATTTTAAAGTGAAAACTGCATAAATTGAAAACTAAAAAGTTTAAAGTTAAAAAATCGAAAAATTTAAAAAGTCAAAAATTGAAAAATCTAAAAACTGCAAATTTGAGAAGTGGAAAAATTAAAAAATCGACTGATTGAAAAATCGGAAAAATATCAAATTCGTAAAATTGAGAAAACGAAAAATTAAAAAAAAACGGACAATTCGAGAGTTGTAAAAAGAAAAAACGAAGAATTAAAATATCGAGGAGTTTAAAAATCGCAAAGCTGCAAACTGAAAAACTGAAGAAATGAAGAATTTTAAATTGAAAACTGTAAAAATTGTAAATTGAAAAATTTTAAAGTTAAAAAAATCGATTAATTGAAAATGAAATAATTGAAAAATAAAAAAAAATCGTAATATTGAAGAAACGAAAGTCCAAAGGTTGAAATCGAAAAATTGAAAAATTTAAAACTGAAAACTGCAGAAATTGAAAATTGAAAAATTCAAAAGTTAACAAATCGAATAATTTAAAAAGTGAAGAGTTGAAAAATCTAAGAACTGCCAAATTGTGGAGTTGAAAAATTAAAAAATCTGCTTATTGAAGAATCGAAAAAATTTCAAAATCGTAAAACTGAGGAAACGAAAAATCAAAAAAACGAAAAATTCAAAAGTTGGAAAAAGAAAAAACGAAGAATTAAAATATCGCAAAACTGCAAACTGAAAAACGGAAGAAATGAAAAGTTTAAATGGTAAAAAATCGAATAATTTCTGTAAGTTGAAAAATAGAAAAATTGTAAATAAGAAAACTGAATAAATAAAAAAATTTAAAACTGAAAACTCTAAACTGTAAACTGGGAAATTAAAAGAGTCAAAAAGAAAATTGAGGAATTAAAAATCAAGCAATTCAAACATCGAAAAACTTCAAAATTGTGAATCTGAAAATTCAAGAGTTGAAAAAAGAAAAATCGAAGAATCACAATATCGAAAAGTTGAAAATCACAAAACTGCAAATCGAAAAACTGAAAAAATGAAAAATTTAAAAAGTTAAAATTGAAAATTAAAAAAATTACACTCGAATAATCGAAACATCGAAAAAATTAAAAAATCGATAAACTGAAAAATCGCAACACTAAAATATCTAAAAGTTGAAAAATCGAAAAGCTGAAGAAATACTGTATAATTTTAAATTGAAAACTCTAGGAATTGTAAATTGAAAATTTGAAATGTTAAAAAATCGAAAAATTCAAAAGTTGATAAAACATCTAAAAGTTGAAAAATAGAAAAACGACTGAAAACTCTGGAAACTGTAAATTGAAAAATTCATGATTTTAAAATTAGAAAAATTAATTGACAAACTTAAAAATTACAAATCGAAATATTGAGAAACCAAAAAAATGAAAAATGGAAGATTCAGAAATCGATAAATGAACAATTACAAATCTCAAAATTGTAAAAATACAAATTAAAAAATCGAAAAATTCAAAATTTAAAAAATCGAAAAATTGCAAAATTAAAAAGTGGAAAGTCGAGAAACAGAAAAATCGAAAAATTAAAATATGTATTTAAAAGTTGAATAATGGAAAAATTGCAAATCAAAAAACTGAAGAAAAGAAAAATTTGAAACTGAAAACTCCGGAAATCGAAAATTGAAAAATTCAAAGTTAAAAAATCTAAAAACTGCAAAAAAACGACTGAAAATTAAAAAAAATGCAAAATGAGGAAACGAAAAATTCAAAAGTTGTAAAAAGAAAAAACGGAAGAATTAAAATATCGAAGAGTTAAAAAATCGAAAAATTACAAAATCGTGAAACTGAAAAATTGCAAAATTAAAATACCTACCTAAAAATTGTAAATTGCAAAATCGAAGAAATAAAAAAACCTGAAAAATTTAAAACTGAAAACTCCAAAAATTGTGAACTCGGAAACTGAAAAATTCAAAATCGATATTGAAAAAACGAAAATTAAAAAATCGACATACTGAAAATTCGCAATTTTAAAATATCTAAAAGTTGAAAAATCGAAAAGTTTAGAACTGAAAACTCCAGAAATTGTAAATCGAAAGTTTTAGAAGTTTAAAAATCGAATAATCTAAAAATCAAAAAAAAAAAACCTGAAAACTCGGGAAATTGTAAATTGAAAAATGAACAATTTAAATCGAGAAATTGAAAAATATAAGATTTATAACATCGAAAAATTTAAAATTTGGAAAATCTGAAAATTGAACAATGGGAAATCGAGAAGCAGAAAAATCGTAAAATTAAAAGAACTATATATTTATATTTAAAAAGTTGAAAAGTGGAAAACTTGCAATCAAAAAACTGAAAATTTAAAATTGAGAACTTTGGAAATTGTAAATTGAAAAATTTTAATGTTAAAAAGTCGAATAATTGAAGGATCGAAAAAATAGCAAAATCGTAATATTGAAGGAATGAAATTTCAAATGTGGAAAAATCGAAAAATTGAAAAATCTAAATCTGAAAACCAAAATCAATAACTGAAGAACTGAAAAATTAGAAAATTTAAAACTGAAAAGTCGAGAACCTGAAAAATTAAAAATCAAGAAATGAAAAAATCGAAGGACTGCAAAATTGGAAATTGAAAAATTTAAATGTTAAAAAGTCGAATCGAAAAAATTTGCAAAACCGTAAGTAATATTGAAGGAACGAAATTTCAAAAGTTGAAAAATCGAAAAACTGAAAAATGGAGATACGAAAAATTTCAAATCAAATCCTGAAGAAATGAAAAATTGAAAAATTTAAAACTGAAAACTCCAGAAATTGTAAATTGGAAAGTTCAAACGTTAAAAAATCGAAGAATTTAAAAAATGAAAAGTTGAAAAGTCGAAACATTGCAAAATTGTGAAACTAAAAAATTAAAAAAATCGACTTACTGAAAAATTGAAAAAATTGCAAAATCGTAAAATTGGAGAAACGAAAAAATCAAAAGTAAAAAAATCGCAAAACTGCTAATCGAAAAACTGAAGAAATGAAAAATTAAAAAATTTTAAATTGAAAACTAAAGTTAAATCGAATCATTGAAAACTCAGAAAAATTGCAAAATCGTAATGTTGAAGAAACGAAAAAATCGAAAAATTCGAAATTTTAAAAATCGAAAAATTGAGAAATGAAAAATCGATAAACTGAAATGTCTCAAAATTAAAACATCTAAAAGTTGAAAAATCGAAAACAGAATTGAAAAACTGAAAACTCCAGAAATTGTAACAACAAAATTTTAATTGGTAGACTTAAAAATTGCAAATCGAAGTATTGAAAAATCGAAAAATTTAAAAATCAAAATCTGAAAATCAAAATCACTAACTGAAGAAATGGGAAATTTAAAATTGGAAACTTGAAGAATTATAAACCGAAACATTCAAAATTTAAAATAAAAACGAAAAAAATGCAAAATATATGAAAGATTTTATCGAAAAAACGAAAAACTGATCAATTCAAAAGTTGGAGAAAAAACGAAAAATTGAAAAATTTTAAATTGTAAACTAGAACAACTGAAAATTGAAAAATTAAAGTGCCAAAAGCCAGAAAACTTGTAAAATCGAATAATCAAAAATTGAGAAACGGAGCAGTTAAATATGGAAAAATTGAAAAATTAAAAAATCGATGTATTGAAAAATTTTAAAATTAAAAATCGAAGTATTGAAAAATTGAAAAATTTTAATTGGTGAACTATAAAAATTACAAATTGAGAAAGTGAAAAATTTAGGATTTAAAAAATCAAAAATTCAAAATTTGAAAAGTCGAAAAATGAAAAAATCGAAAATCAGAGAATTTACAAATCAACAAACTAAACAAATTGAAAAGTTGAAAATTTGTAAACTGAAAGATTCAGAATTTAAAAATTGGAAGAAATTTCAAAATAAATGATATAATATCGGAGAGACGAAAAATTGATCTGTTCAAAATTAAAAAAAAAAAAAACGAAAATTAAAATATTAAAGTGCTAAAAATAGAAAAATTCGAAAAATCGATCAATCAAAAATTGAGAAACGGGACAATTAAAAACTGAGAAATTGAAAAATCAAAAATTAATAAACTAAAAAACGAGAAATTAAAAAATCGACTTATTGAAAAATCGAAAAATTTAAAAGTTAAAAAATCGAATAATTGAAAACTGAAAAATCAAGAAATTGAAAAATTACAAAATTGAAACATCTAAAAGTTGAAAAATAGAAAAACAGAACTGTAAAACTGAAAATTCGAGAAATTGTAAATTGAAAAATTTAGAAGTTCCCAAATCGAAAAATTTTTGGGCAAACTTAGAAGTTGCAAATCCAATTTTTGAAAAAATAAAAAACAAAAAATTGAAATGAACAACTCGAAAAATTGAAAAAAATACGATTTAAAAAAAACGGAAATTGTGGAAAATCGAAAAAAAAAGAAAAATAAAAAATCGAAATGTTCAAAATTTTTAAAATCGAGAAACTAAAAAATAAAAAAATTACAGTTGTATGTAAAAGTTGAAAAATAGAAAAATCGTAATTGGCGAACTATAAAACGTGCAAATCGAGAAATTAACAATTTAAAATCGAGAAATGAAAAAATTGAGAAACTGAAAAATCCAAGAATTACAAATTGATAAACTAAAGAAATGAAAAATATATAATTGAAAACTTGAAAAATTCAAAATAAAAAAAAAATGGGAAAAAATTGCAAAATGTAAATAATATGTTATATAAATTGAAAAAAAACGGAAAATTGAAATATCGAAGAAACAAAAAATTAAAATCTCTAAAAATTGTAAAATCGAAAACTTGAAACATTAAAAAAAATGTCAAAGTGGTAAAATTGATCAAACAAAACTTGAAAAATCGAACAATCAAAAATCGAGAATTTTAACATTAAATTTCAGAGTTTGAGTTAAAAACGCGACAATTAAACTCAAAAATTCATAGCTGTTTTTAATCGTGTTTTTACTACTCAGTTAATATGACCGAAAAAGTTCTTTAGTGCATGTATACATTTTTTTTTGTTTGTAGATGCCGGCTCCCTGTACCTCAGCGCAGCCTGCTTCCAATCCCCCGCCTCCCTCCAAGACATGAACAACACCACCTCCCTCCAAATTTTCATGGCATACCTCCAAGACAACACCCGCCTACTAAAAAACCCGGGCTTGAAAGAAGAAATCAAAGACGAAGTGGCCGCCCTCGCCAACATCTTAAACTTCCTGCGAACCCAACACTTGCTAAAATCGAAGTACATAGTCCGTCGGTACGTAACTTCCTACAACGGCGTACTCCAGATGTTCCCCGGCACCATTCTCAACCAAGGCCTGGACCCCACCGTCAGACCCTGGTTCGGCCAAGCCGTCGAACACAAATCACAACTGGTGATGACCCCGCCCTACTTAGACGAAGGCGGCGCCGGCTACATAGTCACCGTAGCATACGCAACCTCGAACGTAGTGGTAGCGTTGGACGTAACGTACGGGTACATTTTTAGACTGCTCTTAAAACGAATGCCGTTTTGTTTGTCCACGAACATCACGTGTTTTTTGATGGACGACAGAGGGTACTTGATCTACCACCCGAACTTGATCGACCCGAACGGGCACGGGCCGGTCGAGAAACAGCACATAGTCCATAAAGAGTCGCTGCTTGCTAACGATATCTTAAGCCGGAAGTTGTTTATTGAGAAAGTGTTGTGTAATAGTTATGGGGGTGGTACCGTCCAGAGGTACTACAAGCTAAATACTAGTTACAGCGACGTGTTGGTTAGCTCCATACAGAGCGAGCAGTGTGTTAGTTACCATATAGCTGCATTACGTAACAGTAACGTGTTCATCGGGATAGTTAACGCCACGTGTAACGTCGTAGTTACGTTCTGTCCGTGTAGTATAGTCGATCGGTTATGTCTGAATTGTAACCGCATGGAGCAAAAGGAGTGTGAATGTCCGTGTGAATGTCCGTTGGAACAGAGTCGCTGTACGGATTTCGATAACAGTAACAACCCGACTTGCAATTGGTTTCCGGAGCACGTTTCTTCGACGGCGCGTTTTCACGAAGATGCGACTAACGATATGAAATCGTGTTTTCCGACGACTTGTAACGAGGAAAAAAGCCACTATCGGTGTCTTGGTATGACGGGGTGTGAATGGTGTCGGTTTGACGTTGATGGGACACCTTTGGATAACCCGTTTTGTGGTTACATGACTACTTGTTTTAACGGAATGGTCGGATCGGTTACCCCGTATCGTAATTTACACGATTTAGAAAATCCAGAAGAGTCCTACAATGTGCCTATTAGTGTTATTACTTTGTTCGTTTTCGGGACTCTTCTCTTCGTGTGTATGTTCTACATATATCATAGATCATCCTCGGCACAAACCACCGAAAGGTTGTATCTTTCGTCCACTCAAGATAACCACTTAAGAATGAGCGATCTCAACTTGAGCGATAATTTCCACGTGCTGGGTAACCACAGGGATAAGTTACTACAGGATGACAAACCCAACCCGATTTCACCCTATTGTGTGTCCAGTAATTACAAAAGGACGACTCTGGCGGCTGATTCTGATCATGGTTATTCGACTATGACGCAGCACGACGAATCCGAGCATATGTCACTAGCGCCGGTTGAGCTAGACTCCCTGGAGGACGACTTAGGCTCAGATAGCATATCCATCCATACGAGCGTGTCCGGAAAACCCCGAGGACCCGAATCCACCCAGTTCACTTGCCTCCCCAGAAACAAATGCATCGTTGTACCAGTGACAGTCCACAGAAACATGGAAACGACGTAACGTTTACTTAATTACGTAGTTTTAAAATTGTATATTGTGTCCATATTTAAACTTAGTGACAGTTCAGTCTCGCTTGTTATTATCGCGCAGATTTGCATTTATATTATGTATTATTTCGACTTAACTGTAAATTTGTGTATTTGTAAATTTATTTATTGTTTTAGATAATTCGATTTTTTAGCCGCTCGATACAGATGGTGGATTGCATTTATTGACGCAACTACGAATTTCTTGAACTTGATTTTTCTATTCGCAGTTGCAAGACTGATTTGTAAATCGTTGTCAAAAATTGACTAAAACTGCCATTTTTGATAGATTCTACTGTCTTAAATTGTACTTAAGAGTTGAGCTTTTTTTACATGGCAGCACGTGTTTTTATTGTAAGTTGAAAATTATTTTTTTATTAGCTAGGTTTTAGGTCTTTATGGTGCAATACTACCGAAAACTAGCGAACTTATGCATACATAAAAATGTACCTGTTTAATAGTGTTGTGTACTTTTTTTAGAAAATAAAATATTGATCTTTGGTGTTTGCATCACTGGAACGAGAGTGCCGCTCGCTGCAAAGTGTGGACGTAACTACGTTTATTGACACTACTTCCTAAGTAATATTGGTTGAATATTACTCGGACAGAACTTCCCTCATCAAAAAATCGGGAATTCGAACTTGAAAAACTAAATAAATTAATGGGGACATTGGGAAATGGAAAAAGCGAGAATTTAGACACGTCAAAAATTGAAAAATAAAAAATCGAAATTAAATATTAAATATCGAAAAACTGGAAAACCGAAAAATCAAAACATTGAGGAATGGATGAAATAAAATGTGTTGAAAAATTAAAAAATTCAGAAATTGAAATGTTGAAAAATTGAGAAATAATAAACTTGAAAACTAAAAAAAAATTAAAATTGAAAAATGTAAGCTTTTAAAAATCGAAAAACCAAAAAATCGGTTAATCGGAAAATTGAGAATTTAGAAACGTCAAAAATAGAAAAATAAAAAAATTCAAAATTGAATATTAAAAAAATCGAAAAATAGAAATAACGAAGTACTGGAAAACCGAAAAATCTGAAATTTTAAAAATTGAAAATTTATTGTCTTGTAAAAATCGATTAATCGGGAAATCGAAAATTTAGAAACGTCGAAAACTGAAAAAATTAAAAATTGAAGTAAAAAATCGAAAAATCGAAAAATTGAAGAATCGCAATTTGAAAGATTGAAATATCGAAAAACTGAAAAAGTAAAACAATCAAAGAAAAATTGAAGAATCGAAAAACTGAAAAATCCGGAAATCGAAAAGTTAATTAATCAAAAAAGAGAAATTGAGAAATCGAAAAATTTTAAAATCAAAAATTGAGTAATGAAAAGTGAAATTGAAAAACCGAAATCCAAAAAATCAAAAGATCGAGGAATTGTAAAATTAAAATGTGTCGAAAAATTGAAACGTTGAAAAATTTTAAAAATCGAAAAATCAAAAATTTGAAAAATTGGACAGTCGAAAAACTGAAAAGTGAAGTTGAAAAACCAAAAAATCGAAAAAAAATTAAAACTGACAAATGTAAAATTTAAAAATCGAAAAATTGAAAAATCAAAAATTCGAAGTCGAAAAACCAAAACATCGGTAAATTGAGAAATCGTAAAATCGAGAATTTAGAAACGCCAAAAATAGAAAAATAAAAAAAATCCAAAATTTAATGTTTAAAAAATTGAAAAATAGAAATATCGAAGTATGTACTGGAAAACCGAAAAATGTAAAATTTTAAAAATTGTCAATTTATTATATGTATATGTCTTATAAAAATCGATTAATCAGGAAATCGGGAAATGGAAAATTTAGAAACGTCAAAAACTGAAAAAATCGAAATATTGAAAAAGTAAAAAATGTGTTGAAAAATTAAAATTTTCCAAAAATGAGATGTTGAGAAATCGAAAACGTCAAAAATCGAAAAATGCAAAATTTTAAAGACTTAAAAAATCAAAAATTTGAAAATTCGAAAAATAGAAATATGAACTGAAAATCGAAAAATCTGAAATTTAAAAATATCAAAAACCTTGAAAAATCGAAGTCGAAAACCAAAAAATCTGTTAATCGTGAAATTGAGAAATCGAAAAATCGAGAATTTAGAAACGTCAAAAATAGAAAAATAAAAAAATCCAAAATTGAATATTAAAAAAATGGAAAAATTCAAAAATAAGAATAACGAAAAATCTGAAATTGTAAAAATTGAAAATTTACTATATGTCTTATAAACATCGATTAAACGGGAAATCGAAAATTTAGAAACGTCAAAAACTGAAAAAAATAAAAATGAAGTAAAAAATCGAAATGCCGAAAAATTGAAGAATCGCAATTTGAAAAATTGAAATATCGAAAAACGGAAAAATCCAGAAATCGAGAAGTTGAAAAATCGAAAATTTAATCAAAAAAGAGGAATTGAAAAACCGAAATCCGAAAAATCAAAAGACCGAGCAATTGTAAAATTAAAATGTGTCGAAAAATTGAAACGTTGAAAAATTTTAAAAATCGAAAAATCAAAAATTTGAAAAATTGGAAAATCGAAGTTGAAAAACCAAAAAATCGATTAATTGGGAACTTAAGAAATCAAAAAATTGAAAATTTAGAAACATAAAACTGAAAAATCTAAAACCGTGAAGTCGAAACATCGAGAATTGGAAGCATAAAAAAACTGAAAAATCGATAAATCTAAAATTTTAAAAACTGAAAATTTATGATACATTATAAAAATCGATTAAACGGGAAATTGAAAAATCGAAAATTTGGAAACGTCAAAAATAGAAAAATCGCAAAATTACAAATTGCAAAATCTAATATTTAAACATTGAAAAAACCAAAAATCGAAAAGTAAAAAAATTGAAGAATCGCAATATTGAAAAACCCCAAAACTGAAAAAGTATCGATTCATTGAAAGATCAGAACATCGAAAAATTCAAAATTTAAAAATCGAAGAATCGAAAAATTAAGAAGTTAGAAAACTGAGAAATCAAAAAGTTGAAAAATCGAAAAATTAAAAAATTGAAAAATCGAAAAGTCGATTAATTGGAAAATCGAGAAAAAAATAAGCCAAAAACTGGATTAAGCGGGAAAATTAACAACTTGAAAAATTGAAACCTAAAAAATTGAAAAATTGGAAGATCGATAAATCGAAATATCAAAAAACCGAAAAATTAAAAAATATAAAATTTAAAAAATGCAAAAAATTACAAAACTGGGACGTCGAAAAATTGAAAAATCCCAAAATTGAAACATCAAGAAATTGAAGAATCGAAAAATTTAACAAACAAAAACTGAATAATCGAAAAATCAAACATTTTAAATATCGAAAAATTGGAAAACCGCAAAATCGAAAGATTGAGGAATGGATAAAATAAAATTGTGTTGAAAAATTGAGAAATAAAAAACTTGAAAAATCAAAAAATCGAAAAAAAAAATTAAAATTAACAAATGTAAAATTTCAAAAATCGAAAAATTAAAACATCAAACATTCGATATCGAAAAACCAAAAAATCGGTTAATCGGGAAATTGAGAAATCGAAAAATCGAGAATTTTGAAACGTCAAAAATAAAAAAATCCAAAATTAAAATATTTAAAAAATCGAAAAATTGAAAAATAGAAATATCCAAGTACTGGAAAACCGAAAAATCTAAAATTTTAAAAATTAAAAATTTATAATGTCTTATGAAAATCAATTAATCGGGAAATCGAAAATTTAGAAACGTCAAAAACTGAAAAAATCGAAATATTGAAAAAGTAAAAAGTGTGTTGCAAAATTGGAAATTTTGGAAAAATGAGCCCCTGAGAAAACGAAATCGTGAAAAATTGAAAAATGCAAAATTTTAAAAAACTGAAAAATCAAAAACCTTGAAAAATTGAAAAACTGAGAAATCGAAGTCGAAAAATAAAAAATCGAGAAACTGAGATTTTTTAAAATTGTAATAAATCGAAACACTGAAAAATTTAAAATTTAAAATTCGAAAAATTAAAAAATAGAAATATCGAAGAAATGAAAATCGTAAAACTAACATTTTAAAATTTGACAATAATTTATAATAATATATTATAAAACTCGATTAACCGAAAAATTGAGAAATCGAAAATTTAGAAACGTCAAAAATTGAAAAAGTGAAAAGTCGAAAATTTGAAGAATCGTAATATTGAAAAGTCCCAAAACTGAAACATCGAAAAATTTAGAAATCTAAAAACTGAAAAATCGAACAACTAAAAAAATCTAGAAACCGAAGTCAAAAATCGATAAATTGGGAAATTGAGAAATCGAAAAATTAAAAATTTTAAAAATCTAAAACCCAGAAGTCGAAAAATCGAAACATCAAAAAACTGAAAAATCAAATTAAAAAAATTAAAAAATGGAAATATCGAAAAAGTGAAAAATCGAAAAATCTACAATTTTAAAAATTGAAAATTTATAATATATCGTAAAAATTGATTAACCGGGAAATTGAGAAACTGAAAATTTAGAAACGGTGAAAAAAGTTAAAATTAAAAAATTGAAAAAGTGAAAAATCGAATCTTTGAAAAATTGGAGAATCGCAATATCGAAACATCCAAAAATCGATTCATTCAGAAATCGAACATTTAAACACGTTAAAAATTGAGAAATTTAAAAATCGAAAAACTGAAAAATCGACAGATTCAATAATCGAATTATAAAAATGCGTTGAAAAATAAATTTTCAGAATCGAAAAAAATTGAGAAATCAAAAACTTGAAAAATCGAAGAAAAATTGAATCAAAAATTGAAAAATCCCAAAACTGAAACATCAAAAAATTTAGAAATCGAAATATCAAAAACTCGAAAAATTTAAAAATCCCAAAACTGAAACAAAAATGAAAAATCGCAAATTTAACAAATCGTAAAATTGAAAAATCGGGAAACCAAAAAATCGGAAAACAAAAAATTGAAAAACTAAAAAATCTAGAAACCGAAGTCAAAAATCGATTAATCGGGAAGTTGGGAAATCGAAAATGCAGAAACTTCAAAAACCGAAAACATTAAAAATCAAAAAATTGAAAAAATAAAATTTCGAAAAGTCGAAAAATTAAAGAATCGCAGTATTGAAAAATCGCAAAACTGAAATATCGAAAAATTGAAAAATCCCAAAACTGAAAAATCGAAAAAGTAAAAAATCGAAGAAAAATTGAATCGAAAATTTAACAAATCCAAAAATTGAAAAACCGAAAAGGCGATAAACCAAAAAATCGGTTAATCGAGAAATTGAAAAACCGAAGAATTTAAAAACTAAAAAATCGAGAAATCGAAGGCGAAAAACCAAAAAGTCGATTAATCGGGAAATTTAAAAATTGAAAAACTGAAAAATCTAAAATTTAAAAATTCGAAAAATTGAAAAGTAGATCTTAATGTACCGAAGGAGTGGAAAATCGCAAAAATCAAAAATTTTAAAAATCGAAAAATCAAAAATTTAAAAATTCGACAAATTAAAAAATAAAACTATCGAAGAAATGAAATGTGGAAATTTAAATAATTAAAAACTTGAAAAATTATAAAATCGAAAAACCGAAGAATTGAAAAACTGAAAATCGAGAAATCGAAGTTGGAAAACCAAAAAGTCCATGAATTGGGAAATTGAAAAATCAAAAAATTGAAAATTTAGAAACATTAGAAATCTGAAATTTAAAATTTTTTCAGTGAAATTTCATAGGTACTTCAAGTAAACAATCGTTGGTCTTAAAACTAACCGCCATTTTTGGTAAAAAATAATGTCAAGTCTAGTAACTTTCATTAAAAGTCCCTACATAGTCGGCCATTTGGAAACTAAATTTAAGGATAGGCAACACAGATTTCAATTTTGAAATTTCTCTGAAATTGTCTAGTAACAAATTGTGGCTAATTATTAATAAAGGAAATATTTCGAGAATTTTATTACACATAACGGTTATAAGGTTTGTAGTTGTGAACAATTACATATCCTAACATTAATATTTCGATTTTAAAAACAATCAATTTCTCTTTAGGCGTCTGTGGACATTTGTTGTACCCATTCAAGCTCATGACGCACCCAAACGTGATGTTTTAAATACGCTCTTCGTTTAGTCTTGTAGGGGCACTGTTTACATTCATACCACTTAATCTCTTTTTCATCCATATGGTGCGCAACGACGTGGCGTCTTAACGTGTCATTTTGCTTAGATTTATACGGGCACTTATCACACTGATACCACTTAATATTAGCCACTTCCAAATGGTGCGAATTTACGTGTCTATTTACAGACGACTTATACTTAGCTTTGAACGAACAATGTTTGCATTTGTACCATTTAACATCCGAATCACTCAAATGGCACCCATTGATGTGGTCTTTCAAAACCGACAGATGTCTAGTTTTCAGTAAACACTCACCGCATTTGTGCCACTTGATCTCCTGTTCCTTCAAATGATGGACAACAAAGTGTCGTTTTAAATTCGAATTTAATTTAGCTTTGTATGAACACTGGTCGCATTCGTACCATTTAACACTAGCGTCGTCTAAGTGGTGGGTATTCGTGTGTCTTTTTAGGTTGGAGTTTTGTCTAGTTTTGTACGGACAATGTTGGCACTGGTGCCATTTAACATTCTCGTCATCTAGGTGGTGAACAATGACGTGTTGGTTTAACGAATATTTGTAGTTAGTTCGGTATGAACATTTGCTGCACTCATGCCATTTAGCAGCGTCTACGTGGAACGTCTTCATGTGTTTCTTGTAATTATAATAATCCTTAGTTTTGTGCAAACACTTTTTACAGTTGTACCATTTAATATCTTGTTCGTTCAAATGATTCCGGTTTATGTGTTGTTTCAAAGCAAAATTTTGTCGAACTTTGTATGGACACTTTTGACATTTAAACCATTTAATATCTTGTATGTCTAAATGCTGATAATGTGAGTGTCGCTTTAGGTTGCTTTTTTGCTTAGTTCTGTAGGTACAGTCCGTACAGTAAAACCAAGGTATTTCTGACTCTTTTAAGTGTCTTGAAATTTTATGCTTTCTGATATTGGTCATGTGCTTGGCTTTGAAATCACACTCACCACACTCATACCACTTGACAACTTTCTTATTAGTATGATTTTTAGATTTCTTGACTTTCTTTTTCACACAATTTAAGACATGTCGGAAATATTGTAACCCAGAATGGGTTTTAAAGCGACATTTTTGACAAACACAGTCTCCTATAGCGTATTCTCGAATGTATGTAATTGCTGCCTTTCGTTGATTAAAACTATGACACTGCTGCACATGTTGTTTGAAAAAAAGGGTTAGTTCTGTGTGGAATTCACAGTCCTTGCACGTTTTCACGAAGATGCGACTAACGATATGAAGTCGTGTTTTCCGACGACTTGTAACGAGGAACAAAGTCACTATCGGTGTCTGGGTATGACGGGGTGTGAGTGGTGTCGGTTTGACGTTGATGGGACACCTTTGGATAACCCGTTTTGTGGTTACATGACTACTTGTTTTAACGGAATGGTCGGGTCGGTTACCCCGTATCGTAATTTACACGATTTAGAAAATCCAGAAGAGTCCTACAATGTACCTATTAGCAGGGCCGGATCAAAGAATCTTCGGGCCTGAGGCGCAAAAATACTGGGCCCCTGGCCCCTTTCATCTTGACATTATTAGTTTTAATTTTTACTTTCCGAGCGTAAGCGAAAGAAGTATTGTCCGTCGATCGACTCTCTACTCTTACGTTTTCTCGATCTTTCATAACCCCTAGAATACGAAGAAATAGGTCTCTCTTTTTCGTCTGTCTGTCTGTCTATCTGCCGTCACCGATTTTTATTAGACAGATAATCTCTGAAACTACTGGGTCGATTGTTGTCAATTTTTTTAACATGACTTACGTGTAAAAAACAAGAAACTAAATATAATATCAGAATAAAATATATTTTTCATAAAAACAACAAAAAAATATTTCCTGTCTTTCCTGTAATATAAAATAAACATAAAACTCTCAACAAAAACCAAAAACAACCTAAAATAATAAATTAGCGAACCTAAATTATTAAGCATTAATTTGAACTTAAGTTAAGACTTGTTCGCTTGCTGTCGGGCCCTTGTCTCCCCGGGCCCTGAGGCGCGCGCCTCATGCGCCTCATATATAATCCAGCGCTGCCTATTAGTGTTATTACTTTGTTCGTTTTCGGGACTCTTCTCTTCGTGTGTATGTTCTACATATATCATAGATCATTCTCGGCACAAACCACCGAAAGGTTGTATCTTTCGTCCACTCAAGATAACCACTTAAGAATGAGCGATCTCAACTTGAGCGATAATTTCCACGTGCTGGGTAACCACAGGGATAAGTTACTACAGGATGACAAACCCAACCCGATTTCACCCTATTGTGTGTCCAGTAATTACAAAAGGACGACTCTGGCGGCTGATTCTGATCATGGTTATTCGACTATGACGCAGCACGACGAATCCGAGCATATGTCACTAGCGCCAGTTGAGCTAGACTCCCTGGAGGACGACTTAGGCTCAGATAGCATATCCATCCATACGAGCGTGTCCGGAAAACCCCGAGGACCCGAATCCACCCAGTTCACTTGCCTCCCCAGAAACAAATGCATCGTTGTACCAGTGACAGTCCACAGAAACATGGAAACGACGTAACGTTTACTTAATTACGTAGTTTTAAAATTGTATATTGTGTCCATATTTAAACTTAGTGACAGTTCAGTCTCGCTTGTTATTATCGCGCAGATTTGCATTTATATTATGTATTATTTCGACTTAACTGTAAATTTGTGTATTTGTAAATTTATTTATTGTTTTAGATAATTCGATTTTTTAGCCGCTCGATACAGATGGTGGATTGCATTTATTGACGCAACTACGAATTTCTTGAACTTGATTTTTCTATTCGCAGTTGCAAGACTGATTTGTAAATCGTTGTCAAAAATTGACTAAAACTGCCATTTTTGATAGATTCTACTGTCTTAAATTGTACTTAAGAGTTGAGCTTTTTTTACATGGCAGCACGTGTTTTTATTGTAAGTTGAAAATTATTTTTTTATTAGCTAGGTTTTAGGTCTTTATGGTGCAATACTACCGAAAACTAGCGAACTTATGCATACATAAAAATGTACCTGTTTAATAGTGTTGTGTACTTTTTTTAGAAAATAAAATATTGATCTTTCGTGTTTGCATCACTGGAAGGAGAGTGCCGCTCGCTGCAAAGTGTGGACGTAACTACGTTTATTGACACTACTTCCTAAGTAATATTGGTTGAATTAGTAGGACAGAACTTCCCTCATCAAAAAATCGGGAATTTAGACACGTCAAAAATTGAAAAAGAAAAAATCAAAATTAAATATTAAAATATTGAAAAATTGGAAAACCGAAAAATCGAAAGATTGAGGAATGGATAAAATAAAATGTGTTGAAAAATTCAAAAATTGAAATGTTGAAAAATTGAGAAATAAAAAAAATTAAAATTGAGAAATGTAAAATATTAAAAATCGATTAAACGGAAAATTGAAAAATCGAAAAATCGAGAATTTGGAAACGTCAAAAATAGAAAATTAAAAAAATCCAAAATTGGATATTAAAAAAAATCGAAAAATTGAAAAATAGAAATAACGAAGTACCGGAAAACCGAAAAATCTGAAATTTTAAAAATTGAAAATTTATTATATGTCTTAAAAAAACGATTAATCGGGAAATTGGAAATTTAGAAACGTCAAAAAAATTAAAAATTTTAGTAAAAAACCGAAAAATCGAAGTTGAAAAACCAAAAAATCGATTATTTGGGAAATTAAGAATAATAATAATAATAATAAAAGCGTTTATTGTTCTACAAAAGAGACAATGTGAGAACAAAAGGTTCGGCTACAGCTCAACGCTGATACATTTCTAAGAACCAAACCCGTAAATACAAACAAGAGTATACAAAATAAAATAAGACGAGAAAAAAGAAACACATTAAAATTTTATTGTGTCAATGTTAAAATTATTGCTCAAAATTTGTTTATTTATTTTGTTTTTAAGATTAAAATTAGAGTACCCACATGCTAACTCAGGGCACTTATTGAAAACGTAACTAGCCAAGTAAGAAAATGAAGTTTTAAACATTGACATTTTATGCGAAGGTATATCAAGTTGTGCATCGACAAATCGTAATTTTCTGGAATGAACTTGACTTCTTTTCAATATTTTGTCGTAAAGATAAACTGGTGCATGTTCCTTTAAGACACTGTTAAGAAAACAACTGTAATGAATACAACGTTGTTCGTTCATTTTAAGTAAACCAAAAGATCTCAAATATGGAGTAATATGATCACCAAAAGGAACATTTGTAATAAATCTAATGCAGTTGTTTTGAATTTTTTGAAGCTTTGCTTTGTCATTTATAGTAAGGCAAGGACCATACAATTGATCGCAATAATTGAGGCGTGATAAAATCAACGAATTCATAAGCAAAAGTTTAGTTTTTCCATTTAAAATATGTTTTAGAGGAATAAGTTGCCTAAATTTTAAGTAACACTCTCTACAGATATGAGACACATGAGAAGAAAATGTTAATTCAGAATCGAATATAACCCCAAGATTGTTAAGCTTGTCTACGTACTCTATTTTTTCATTATTAATAGTAATTTGAAGACTGACGCCTGAAAGTTTATGTGATGTGCCAAACAAGATATTGTGACACTTTTTTGTGTTAATCAATAATGAATTTGATGATGTCCATTTGTAAATCTCGTTTAGGTCATGATTGATCTGTTCTTGAGCACGTAATACTTCACAGGGAGGGAAACTTAAAAATAATTGAATATCGTCGGCGTATAGATGAATTTTACAAAACTTTGGCATATAAACGATGTCAGATATAAAAACGGAAAAAAGTAGAGGGCCTAATTTGGAGCCTTGAGGAACCCCATTGCTAACTCTGCGCTCACTAGAAAAAACTTGACCTTCAGTTGTATTTAAACGACAGACTTGTTTACGATTGTATAAATAGCTTCTGAACCAATCAAAGTTTGGATTACAGATACCATAATAGTAGAGCTTTTCTAATAAACAGTCTATGTTCAATGAGTCGAACGCTTTGGTTAAGTCTAATAACGTTACAGAAGTTAAATTTCCTAAATCTATATTGCTAATTATATGATCTGTTAACGACACAAGTGCAGTAGCGGTACTATGACATTTACGAAAACCTGATTGAACTGGTGGTATGATGTTTTTGGAATTAATAAATTCACTAAGCTGCTGATAAATAACAGACTCAGCAATCATCAAAGCAACAGGCTGAATGCTAATGGGCCTCATGTCATTCAGAGATGTAAATTTATTCTTTTTTGGTATGGGAGTTACGCATGAAGTTTTCCATAATTTGGGAACATAACCATTTTCAAAACTGAGGTTAATGATGTGTGTCAAGGGGGCACTAACAAATGGCAAAGCAATTCTCAACATCCTACCAGAAATACCGTCATACCCCATAATAGAAGGTTTTAATTTCAGTATTGCTTCTTCAATTTTCTCTACTCCCACAGGTGAGAATACAAAATTACTGTCATTAGAAAAATTTGTTCGGTTAATGTAATCACGAAAGCTAGATGTTGTAGTGACCGCAGGAACAGAATTTATAAAATAGTTGTTTATCTGGTCAGCATTAGCTAGTTCAGGAGGTATGGTTTCATTATTTTTACTTGCTATTATATTAGAGTTCCGTAAGGTTGCCCAAAATTTTCTTGGATTATTTTTACAATTCTGTGTAAAGTTGTATGTCATAAAACCACGTTTTTCTTGCTCTAGTGCAATATTATAAAAATTTCTTAATTCACAATAGTACCTTTTATGTTGTTCAAGCTTTGTCCTACAAAAATGATTCCAAGCTTTCCTTTTTAGGATTCTCAATTTTCTAAGATTGTGAGTATACCATGGTTGATGAGATCTTTTAGTTTTATGACAACAAATTCTTAATGGAGCATGTACGTTAAAAATACTTAAAATGCATTCGTTAAAATATTTAACTTTTTCATCTAAGTCTGGCA